AGAGAAATGCTTTTCTTTTTTAATTGAGAGATGCTTCTACATGTAGCTCTTGTTGGCTCTGAGAATTTCCTATCAGCAGGGCTCTGATACTCTACCATTCAGCCCTGTGTGACTCTGTGCTACAGAAAGCCTCTCCTTGGGCTGGATGGTCACTGGGCTTCGAAAATCCTGGACAGAATGTAACTTTCCTATTTATCTCTGGCAGAAACATCTCGAGGAGGATTTTGGTTGGTCTGGAAAAGGTCCAGTGCCCACGACTGAACTGATCATGTGCTTTGCTTGACCTGGGTCAGGTGACTCATCTCTGGGGCCAGGGGCATGGACAGGCTGTCATTATGCAGTTTCTCAGAAGAGAAGCCTAGCACTATTATACGATGAGACTGGACAAGACACTGGGTAGACAAAGGCAACCGCTGCTACTATAAACTCCACGGTTCCTCCACCAGGCCTTGTGTGTTACTAACATGCAGGAAGTTGACCTCAGAGGTTATTTTCCCGGCTACCAACCTTGATATATACAATTAAGGAGCGAAATAACAGAAAAGAATAAGGGCATAATATGAACATGGGAAATTAACCAGACTATTAATGGTCAAGAAAGTTGTATGGAAAAAAAACTTGCAAAAGTTCTCTCAAACTTACTGAGAATTCAAAATGGGAACTTGACACAATATCATGGAGTTTTGATAGGGGCAGATTTTCTCCAAGCCAAAGCAACAAAAACAGGAAGAAAAAAACAGATACTTCTAGCAAGCACATTTTTAAAGCCAAAAATGAGATGAGGCAAAGAAGGTGAAGTGATTTATTAACAGTAATCTAGCAGGTAAGTGACAAGATTAAAACCAGAGCACACATGTAACCCACCTAGGTCTTTTAGATCCAATGTGTACGCATGTAAAAAATAGAGCACTTCTAATTTGTTAGACTCTAAGTGTTTGTGAAGTTGAACACAATCACTGCGTCAATTACTAGTAAATAGAAAAATTACCAAAGACATCTGAATTGTATGGTCTGCATCTAGATAAAATGCATACAAGGGCATCTTCAAATATAGTATGTGCCTGTGTTCATTCCTTCCCTCTCTGCTCTTTGAAAATATACCCCTTTAAAAATTTCCCACTCACCATCTGTTAGGTAAATTTCCTGAAACACAGTCAATGTGGAGTCAGAGATTTTTGTTATAGAGATTATTCCAAATGGCAGTGATACCTATATTTATGCAACTTAAAAAGTGCAGGTTAGAATTGCTTTTAAAAAAGTTCCACACTAGAGTAATATCATATTACCCCGTGAGCAAAGTTCTATTCCTCTATTCCATTGCATAAGAGATGGGGAGAAAGGCAAGAAAAATCTAGGCACAAATGCCTAAAATATTGTCCCCAAACTTTGAGATTATATTCAAGTTTCAATGAATGGGAGAAAAATACTAACAACTTTACAGACGAGCTTCACTTATTCTACAAGATCTACAGGCTGAGATTGGCATTACGATCCATTTTTCTTCAATCTAGTTACTTTTGGAAAAAAAAAAAAAGCAGGTGGAACAGATGCCATCCAACTCTAAGTCTATAGCCTAGACCATGTCACTACATGTAAAGTATCTTTCATTTACAATCTAGAAGTAGTAAAAGTAATTTGTATTGTCAAGAGTGTCTGCTCTCCAGTCTGTAGCAGAGAAGCCTCGAATAAAAATATTCTCATTACTTTCCACTAAAAACATATATCTGATTATCTATAAAAGAGTGGGTCATTAGAGATGTATTCTTTGGTCACCGTATTATATAACCTCTCCACTGTAAGCCCCACCATATTTTTAAAAAATATGTTACTCACAGTCCATGTTAATTTATATTTAATCTTTCTAATACTAGCAGAGTATTATTTTGCATAGGCTCAGAAACAAATCTCCAGAAATTCCTCCCTGATGCTCCTTTGAAGCTGAACATGTATTTCAGGGCAGTGGCACTGATTTAATTCTAGTTGGTGGGGCCCTGGCCGCGTGCGAATTTCACTAGCCTCAAATTTCTGGATTTAAAAGATCCACTGGATACAATTCCTGTCATTGACTAACCTGTGCAGTGCGGTTAGAGAGGACACCAAGAAGAGCGGCTCAGCTCCTATCTGGAGCCTGGTACACCAGCAGGCAAAGGAGAATTTCAAGTTAAAGACACTATTTGCATCTAAGTAGTCTTTCTTGCCTAGGTCTTCATTTTCAGGGGAGAACTTCCTCCCAGGTTTTCCTCAGCTGCAACCTAATCGGTTACACCCGTTACTATCTCATTTCTCCCTCCTAACCCCCAGCTCACCACCCCCCATTTTAGTACTGAAGTATTTCTTCCCCCAGGCTAGAAGCTTATCTCTCAGTGCCTTTATATCTCAAGTGTTCAGTTTGGCACCATCCCCACAGCAGCAGCAATCCACAGGCACCAGAGAGAAAAACAAAAGTCAAATCACTGTAAAGCTCAGAATCTAATCATTTGGAGGAGTTTATTTTATATAGGACACCTTTAATTGAGCAGAACACCGAAATCCCCGAGTAGAGTCAACTGCCCTCCTTCTCCTCTCCCTGAACTGCCTATGAACAATGAGTCTGTGTGCCATGACTCTCTCCTGATGTTGCAGACTGATAGAAGCTGGAGAGCAAGGAGTTGCACTTTTACGCCTGGAGCTTCTAAAATCACAGGCAAAACAAGGCCACCGAAAGATGCACACAAACACTTGAACGTGGGCGATGGCTAACCAGGATGGCATACCACCCATGAGAGTGCCAGCAGCAGCACAAGCTACAAGTTCGTGCTATCCTCCTGTCAGCCTCTTCTCTGCAAATGCAGGTGAAAACTGGGAGCTCTTTTTTTTCCCCTCAGCTGTTCAATCCAACACGAATAGCTGCAATTTGCAAATTAGAGGAAAATGACAGTGTATGCTCTCAATGGTTTTTTCCCAACCCACACTGCTCACACTGGCATTTGGTTCCTTTTCTCCCCAGCTTAGGGAATGGGAGAACCAGCCATTTGTTTCCTCGAGTTGCCTCAGATTCAAATACCAGAGGAGGCATCAGCTCCCCCTGGAATCTTTTCTCAGCAAGCACAGTCCCTGAGCCTAATCTGCAGTGGCTTTCTTGACTTCAACATTTCACTCTTTTTTTCATATAGACAGGCCCATCTGCAGTAATGCTTACGCTTTGAGTGAAGAGAGGAACAGGCAGCAAAATAATCTGAAAATGCCAAACACAAAATATACCTTCCAGTCCACTCCCAGGGTTCTGAGGGAAATGCTGGAAATTCCCCAAACTCCCAAGTAGCTCTCAGGTGCTGTCTCTGACCTCATCCTTTCTGCAGCAGTGCCCCTCAAGTTGCCCAGCTTTGAGCTCGAAAAGAAAGTGCTTCTAGATTTTGATTACAAACCTCAGCTTCTTCCTGGTAGCAAGGAACCCAGAATAAAGTCAACCATCAAAGCACTTCTAGGATTGCAAACATCTAGAGGTCCCTAAGTGGACACATTCAGGAGCTGGCAGGGATGCTCAGAGCATTAGAGGGGCCACACTACGTGTAGCCTTTGATGAGCACCCTTCCTTGAACCCAAACTGCTCTCCTGGAGGCCTTGCTGATCCCAGATTCAGAAAGGATCCTGGGTTGGAACCCACACCCTGAGGGAAAGCACTGGAGAGGGACCCAATTCTTAAGGTGCAGTAGCCTAAGGCATCAGGATCACATCACACATATCTGGGTACTACTGAGCAGAGAGTCATTCATGGGAAAGGGTGGTCTCCAGTGGAGATGAATCAAGATAGAGAGGGAGAAAGGAAGCAGAAGATGAAAGGGAGGGGAAAAATAACAAGGAAACAGAAAAAGAGAGACACACACATATAGAGAAGAAACACGAACAAGGGAAGCCACTGTTTCAGAGACACTGGAAATTTCATCCATTGATACTCAATGCAGCACTGGAGCCAAGGGGCAGAGGGTGTGGGGAAAGAGGCAGGGAGCACTGCGGTAGAACCCATCGCTCACCAGTCCGGGTTTGCCGTTACCCCACTTTTGCCTGGCCCTCAGGAACCCTGGAACCACAGGAGGAGATCTGCCCGGCCCTGCGCAGCGCACCCCACTGCCCCAAGTGTCTTCTCGCCTAGATCTGAAAAATTATTATCCTTGGACCTCAGATGGGGTGATTGGGGTTTGGGGGCTTTGGCTCCTAAGGGAGATAGAGGGCGAGGGGGCGGAGGGAGGGGGCAGTGAAAGCGATTTTTGTTTCGCAGTTAGCATGAGCTCATCTCTGGGCTGAGGGCTGAAGTAGCAAGAGTAGAAACTGATAGTTCAGCTCCTGCTCGTGGCCGGACTGCAAACGCAGTTTAGACGGTGCAAAACATTGCCCGGAGAAAACCCACGGGATGAGGGTCGAGTCTGAGGATGGTTTCTCCCCCTCGGGTCAGGGTCCCGTCCCTCTTGACCCTAGCTCTACTGGCCAGAAATCCAACCCGGAGGTAGGCAATTAATGTCCACATCCACGTTAAAACGGAGCCCTCAGTTTAAGATGTGCCTCCTTCTGTCCTCTCGAAATTCTCCAAAGGAGTTGAGGTCTCCTGCGGCTTCTGGGTGCGAGGCTGGGGAGTTGAGAAATGCCCAATTCTGAGGGACCATCACATCTTGCATATACCATGCGCCTAACCAGTTCTCCTAGGAGCTAGGCACTTTATTTCACTCTAATGGAAACCCATTTAAATCATCGCTTTGTTTTTCGCAAATTGCTTCTCGTAAATGGGGTCATAAATCCAGGATGTCAAGTCGGATGGAGTGGCGCGTGGACAGGGGAGAGATGGAAAGGAAATAAGCCAAAGAGGGAAAGAACCTCCCAGGGTAGGGTGGGAGGGGTTCAGCTAGACCTCCAGGGTGGAAATGCGGGAGGGCTGACCTGACCAAGCATCCCTGGAGTCCAAGCCAGCTTTAAGGTTACCAGTGCAGGGAGTCACTTCTTATTCCGCCCCGAAGGGAGCGCCCCCCTACCTGGAAAAGCCTCAGGATGTTGGCTACCATGATGGAGACCGAACTCCCCGAAGCCCCAATCACTCCAACTACTTTCTCTGGCTTGACGAAAACGGGGGGTTCGCCGTTGGTGCAGCGTACATCGGAGGTATCCTTCTGGATGAGCGCCTGGACGAAAGTGAGCGACTGTTCGAGCGCGTAAGTGTCCCTGGAACAAGTGTCCAGGATCCGCGCGCCCAGCGTCACGTTAGGCAGCAGGTTGGGATCGCTGTTGATCTGGTCCAGGGCATACAGCATCGCTTCCAGCCTGTGGATCCCGTTCTCCCTCTTGATGTCGCCGCAGGGCACTCCGCTGGGACCCTTGGCGTGCACCGGGAACAGCCCCCCGAGGGTGACATCCCCCTCGATCCGGATCGAGTGCGGGGCGTACATCTCCTGGCCGCGCGCCGCTGCCGCCAGCGCGCACAGGAGCACTTCCAGCACGCAGCAGGGGAACTTCATCAAAGTCAGGGCGCGGAGCAGCTTCCCTAGCTGTACCATGCTGCTCTGGCTGCGGCTCCGGCGGCGGCGGCGCGGGAAGGGACGCCGAGGGTGACATCCCCCTCGATCCGGATCGAGTGCGGGGCGTACATCTCCTGGCCGCGCGCCGCTGCCGCCAGCGCGCACAGGAGCACTTCCAGCACGCAGCAGGGGAACTTCATCAAAGTCAGGGCGCGGAGCAGCTTCCCTAGCTGTACCATGCTGCTCTGGCTGCGGCTCCGGCGGCGGCGGCGCGGGAAGGGACGCGG